AAAAAAAAAAATTTGTTAAATTGATAGTCAATTTAACTCGTGATATTGCTGCGGTAGTTTAGTAGAGTTAGCGTTTCAAGACCGGAAATTTTTCGGCGCGCGTTTCTGTGGGACTACATACGTAGTATATAAATTCACATAAGAATCATACAAGCATTAAAGATCCAGCTAGACCGTGTAAGGCTTTGATTTCTATAGTTTGTGTTATCACATGTACGGTCCTATAATATATTATAATATTAAACCAATAATAAGATCTTATTCGGACCGACAAGAATTAAACACTAAGTAGAAGCATATTCAAGTTTTTGTCTAATTCCATTATTATTCAAAATTAAATAATTTTGGACTCTTTAAACTTAAAATTAATTACAAAATGGAACGGACATATAAGAGTCGAGCGCGGTAGTTAGAGCGCAAAAACCTTTTTATTCTTGACATTACTTCTTATAAATTGACAAACGTTTTGGTTTCCTTCCGAGCCATCATTAGTGTACAAAACCTCTGCTTATTTCTCAAGTCCCTTATAGGGAAGTACTGTAAATTCCATTATTATTATTATATGTCCATTATTACTTTGCATTTATACATAAAATTATATTATCACAATAAAAAGTGGGTGTTTTATGTATAATGTGAGCTAATTTTCGGGCGTGCTTCTTTAAGCTAAAAAACTTGAACGATCATTTATTTAACAATGTAGTGGTTGGGAGCCTTGAGTACTAGTTGGTTAGGGAGGTTCAGGCATGCCCAAACGTAGGTCTGTTCGCGTTGCTTGCACTTTTTGCACTCAATATCTTTGCTTTTTTTTCTTCAACGTTATTTTTTTTATAAACATGCATTTTATTTAAGATTTTCCTAAAGTGCTTGAGGGCCACTCTTCCCTAAGTAATAAAAATAGAAAACTATCTTAATTAATGACATTAAAATATACCTATGTATACTAGAAACTACAAAACATACATCTGTATTAAAATCGAGCCAAAATGAGAATCCTGATGGAACCAATCAACATGAAAGACATTACAATATTGGTAGTTCAAATGAACGATGCCGCTTGGACTTGGTTAATATATGTGATGGTAATGGAAAACCAGCAGTCTTACAAAATAAAATCAAAGATAATTGGCTCGAAAATGATCGTAAAGACTGTCAAAAAGAGACTCCTTTCCAATACTCCCACAACTTAAATAATTCATCTGTTAGAAATATAAATATTTCAAACGCGTCACCAACCGTCAAACCTCTTCTCCTTTCTATTCGTTCACCTTTAGCTAGAAAAATCATTCTGCAATCAAAGAAACATGTATTACCTAAAACGAATAGTGTACAAACGAGTCCTAAAGTGCAATATATTTCCGTATTGAAGAATCTCAATCCACAAAATATATCACAATCACAGTTTTCAATAAATAATTCTAATGAAAATATGGTAACCACTATGAATAATTCAAATAATGAAGTACAAAATATAATTGAACAAAATACTCAAAACACGCCACCGCATGAAGAAGACAAGACATCTCGTGTTAAAATTAGTGTATTAGAATATCGAAAAAGAATACTGAACGATAAAACTCGTAATGACAAATCGATGACAGTGGAAGAGCCATCTCGAACTATACAAGTGGATGTTTATCATGCTTCAACTATGAAACTACCACTCAGACCTGATCAAGAAATAAAGGATACATTTTACTGTCAGAGAGAAATTATACCATGTTGGAAAAAGGAATCAGATATACAAGAAGAAAAAAATAAGCCGAAACCACCTACTCGCAATATACAAACAGAAACGGACAAAAATATTTTTGAATATTTAAAATCAGTAGATGTTGAGGAGAAAGAGGGAGATGCGAAAATTATGGAGACAAACAAAAAAAGGTAAGGTATTCAATATTATTTATTATTATTAATCTTGAAATTTATCGGATTTCATGATGAACCTTCTTATTCGAATGTTTCATATATCAAAACCACTTGTTCCAATAATGCAAATAATTTAATAAAAAGATTTTTTTATAATTTGTTCAATATGATGATATTACGAATAATTACACATACGTTTTAAAAAAGATCTTTCGAAAAGATCCTGGTCAGTTTAAAATATTTAGTCCTTAAAATATTTGGCCCTCTTTCTTGAAAGAAGTCATCGTGAAATCTTACGAGAACTTTTGCACTCTAATTATATTATAATAATTTGTACAATGTCACAACAGGGAGGAAAGTACAAAGGATAAAAAACAGAAATCCTGCGAAAGAGTCTCTCGCAGTTTGAGTCGATCTAGATCAAAAAGCAGAAGCAGGAGTACGACAAGCGAAAGCAGTAGCAAGAGTAGAAGTAGGAGTAAGAGTAGAAACAGAAGAAGTAGAAGCAAAAGTGAAAATCGAAGCACAAGGAGAAGTAGAAGTAAGAGCAGGACAGGAAATAGGAACAGAAGCAGAAGTGTTAGTACAAGCACAAGCAGAAGCAGAAGTAGCAGCAAAGACAGGAGTAGCAGTAGAAGTAGGAGTAGGAGTAGGAGTAGATCTCGAGTAGATCGACGTAGCAGCCGACGAACAATAAGTCATCGCACGCGACGCAGCTCTGTCACCTCAACAAGCAGTTGGTCGTCTCCCGCATCTATTTCAATGATATCAAAGCATTCGTATTCACGTTCTAGCTCTCGATCCGACATCCGATCTAGATCTAGATCTAGATCCAGATCTAGATCTCCCAAACGGTTTTATTCTAAACGGTTAAGGTATGTAACCAATTCATTCCAATCAGAATTATATGTATAATAAATAAAATCAATAATACACTAGCTTGTAAACAAGATTAATTTAAATAAAATTCTTATAAACATTCTGTTAATAGATCTCCCTCGACTTCGAATCTTCGAAAAAATAAATGGTCTAATAAACGAAGAAAGGATAGTAGGGATCGTGAAAAAAGTTATGATAAATATGACAGACGCGAAAGAAGTTACGATAAATACGAGAAACGCGAAAGAAGTTATGATAAATATGAGAAACGTTCCTTAGCCAATCGCCATGCCAATAGAAGTTATAGGTAAAACATACTTTTCGAGATATAAAGATGCAATTTCTATTGACATTGAAACGAATATTCATCTAACAAATTTCTTACTATATAATTTACTACATTCTACCTAATTCTAAATAACCAATTCTAATTACCAATTCTAATGGCCAATTATCATCTTATTTCCACGATGTCTTAAGATTCTAACTAATTATATTTATAATTAAATAATTATATATATATTATATTTTGATTTAATACAAAATGTTTATAAAATTTACATATTTACATATTTTCAAAAAATTTGGAAAAAATAAAGAACTTATATTTGGAAAATAAACTTTTCAATTGTTGTTAAGATTAATATATAGATAGCCATATATATTTAATAAAATCCTCGATATATAACCTTTCATCATTTTTATAATTTGTCTCTAGTAGATCACCGTTAGATTCTTGTTCCGAAACTTACGATGATTGGCACAACAGAAAAAAGCAAAGAGAAATAGAAGAACGAAGAGTGGTATATGTAGGACGTATAGACGAAGGAATTACCAAATCTGATCTACGTAAGAGATTTGAGATTTTTGGACCCGTTGAAGATATCAGTGTACATTTTCGTGAACATGGGTATGTATCTTCACTTATATTCACTTCATTATTTTTTAAAAATTATATTATTCTTATACTACAATTTCTACAATCTCTATAATCTGGGATATTATTTTAGCGAAAACTACGGTTTTGTCACTTTTCTATACAACAATGATGCTTACGAAGCCGTGGAACATGGTAATGACAATCCGTCTTTACCCAAATATACTCTATCTTTTGGAGGTCGCAGAGCGTTTTGCAAATCCAAGTACGCCGATCTTGGTAAGATAATTAATTAATATATCATACATATGTATGTATGTATGTAACAAAATTTTATCTTCTTTATTTATGGCGATTATATTTTCTTGACAGACAATGTAGAAGATGGTGCCTCTAGAAGGAGATCTCACATAAATGAAGACATGTCCTATGATTATCTCTTAAAGTCAACAGCATATATGCTCAAAAGAAAAGTTTGACATACGTATTGTCTAATCGTTTTAAATTTAAACAATAGTTTGATTATTAAAGTAAATTTTTTAAAGAAAGAAACGCACTTGTATCAATGCTCATATACAGTGTGTTTCGGTGCTGCTCTTTTACTATAACAAATAAAAATTAGAAATATCCAATTATAAATACATTAGGAGCATTTGAAATTTTTAATTATCCAATGCTTTATTCAAATTGTTTAGTCTCATCAGATATTTGTTTCCTCAGCTTGCCAAATCTTATCGAATTTTCTGAAAAAAAAATGATACATTTTAATGGTTTTCTCATTATGCAATATATCTGGTTATGTAAATACGGATAATTGAAAATATTCAAGTTACAATCGCACTGAGCAGGTACCTGATCTTGTTGCATACAGAGAGTCTATGTAGAAGAGAATCGCCAACTAATCACGTAATCTTGAGCAAAAATTATTTTAGCTAAGCAGAAAGCCTATTTATTACTTCAGGCAATCATAGTAAAAGTTAGATGATTCTATTGGCGCCGCTCTCCCTTTAGACTCTTTAGTTGAAAATAAATGAACTCGATTCATCATGCTATCTGCCTATTTCTAGAAAGAATGATGTGACGAGAGGCAAAATTTGCCTGAATATATATGTATATATATTATATTTAAAATTTTCGGAAACGTTACTAGTAGTAGTTAATGAAGGACTGGTTTATATAGATTTGTTTTAAACGTTCTGTCTACAGATTCCATCTACAATAAATGCGGATATGCAGTTTGCAAATATGAAATTCGCGACTAAAACTTCTGTAGCAAAAAAGCTCTCGAAAAATTAAGTCAAAAAGTTATTTGTAAAGTTTTATTTTAAGCAGTAGTTTTTGAGATAATAAAAGTAAATGTGACCAATTACAGATTGCATGTCGAAGACAAATTTCTCTTGTCTCAAATTACGGTTAAACTATTGAGAAAATTACAATATAATTATGATATTCATAATCAAGAGAATTGCCTACATCTTGCTAAAGAGTGACATTTTAAATAAAAACGCAAAATAAGCATTTTTAACATCTCATTCAATGTGTATTGTAGTGTAGCTGAAGTACAGATAATCTTATTTATTATAATGTTTCAAGGTTCAAATTGCAAAATCCGACTCTTTAGTAGGCTTTATAGCTTCATAAAACATTCAATACAAGTTTTATGGCCAAATATTTTTTTGACAAAACAATACATGATAGAATGTAGATATATATTTACTCCTAATTGAAACGTAAATGAATTTTCTTGTCGCCGATTCTTAAACGTAGTCTGTAATTGACTGTATTTAAATTCTTATATCTGAAAAACTATTGTTTATAATATAAATTTACAAATAACTTTTTTACTTAATTTTTCGAAAACTTTCTTGTTGTAGTATTTTGATTTCCGGACACCCTATATACGTGAAAATTAGATAATTTTAGCTAGAACATTTTTAAATATATAAATTCAATTTTTTTTACAAATTCTTTGACGCGCGTTAATTCAAATGTTATTTATTGCTTCCTTCATGATTTCTTATACATTTATTTTAAATCATGATATCAGATATACACATATTATTCACATATTACACATATTATTCATCTCTTTACATATCTTTTTCGCAATTAAAAAAATTAATCAAGAATTATCGTCATTGTTTTATCAAATATGAAATTTGTAATGTTTACCTGATTTTATTTAATTATAACTCGAATGATGACAAAAAGAACAATTCTGATAAATTAATTAAATTACATATATCAAATATGTATATTTGGCTTGACATAAAAATCTACTACTACTGTAAACCGAATTTTTTAATGAAATGTAAGCGTTTAGTCTTCATTAATTCATTATATTACATATTATATGTATAATGTCTCTATTATACGATTAATCATTTACTGCCATGATTAATTAAAAACGATCCAGCAAAAGTAAAATCATGAGATAATCTTCAATGAAATTTTATTGTATGAAGAAACTTATTGTAATTTCTTAATTAAATTTGTGCAGGTATACGATCGAACATATTGTTAATAAATGCATATTAAAAATCATACGTTATGATTATTATGATCATTACCTTTCCACATTTTTTTATTCGTTTCTCATCAAAGCGTTTCTATATTCTTAACACCGAAATAAAATGTAAAAACAAAATTTATAATCGAATTATTTATCTTTACACTTACTTAATGTATAATTCCGTAGTAATGATAACTTTAGGATCGTAAGCAGTCGATAGTATATACTCGAAATTCTTTATCATCTAAAGACGTAAGAGTGAGCGTTGCTTCATACAATGAAGGAGTTGTTGGTAAAATATGTACGATCATTGGAACTTGTTGGTTAGATGGCCTCACATCTAGACATACACACATTATAAAAAAAAAAACTTTCAATTGGAAATATATAAAATACAACAATTTATACGTACATTACATAAGATACATGTAAATTGAAATATACCTACATATTAAATGTATATAGGGAATGAAAAAAAGATGTATCTTAAAATTATACTATCGGATGCAGGAAAAAGATGAAGAAATAGTAAAATAGAAAAAAATTAATTTATTTTATATGATATGAGAAAAATATTTCTTAATTAAATGAAAAATAAAATTACATCCTATTCTTGCATTTCTAAAATTTAATTCTTGAAGTCTCTCTTTTAATCGTTTATGATTCAAAAATTGTTGGAGAACATTTTAGTTACATAAATATTAATTCTAAATTATCTAAAGAATTTATAGCTAAATAATAACTGATAATATTTCTGTATTTTCGCGAAAGAAATAGTAGAAATAAATTCTTTTGCAGAGTGCCCTTTCAAATGAATTATTCTATGTAAATAAATTTATGTCCTGAATCTTACTTGCCTTGTATAGTAAAACATTCTGGTAAAATAAGAGAACTTGATTTATCCGAAATTGTAACTTTATATGTCACTGCGGTATTAAAAACATGCATAAATTCCAAAGCTGCAGAATCAATGTCACTTCTCATCAACCACTTTATTAATCGTAGCTCGATGTAGGTATCTGAAAGCAACAAATAAAAACTGAGAAAAAGCAAGAACATAAATGACAATTCGTCCTGCAAAATAAATATATTAGAGTTATAAATAGATTAATATATAAGATTTGGTAAACAACCGTTTTTAGATGTTATCTGACATACTCGAGTATTTGGACCAGAATAGGTGTTCTCGCGGTTCGAGAGTTTTTTTAAACATTTCAGTTACACATCTTCGAAGCTGAATGTTACAAGATGGTATAGGTACACTGATATTAAACGGGCAAGTGTCTCTTACGCCGCTTCGTTGATTTGAGCAAACGCATTCTCCTTGAGCTGTCCACTGGACAACGATGCGATCGTTGACCGACCTTTGCCAAACCGAATTTATCTGTTGCGATCAACAAGAAATGTCTAATTTTACAAGATATTAAATCAATCCCATTTTCTCAGAGTCTAAATACGTTTTCTCCACATTTTGCGTCATTTATAGACGACTTTGGTGTGCCGTAAAACAATTTCTCGTACTTGTCAAGTGCTTACTTGAATAATAAAATCACCGGTTTTCGCTTGGAAAATCAACCAAAACGTTCGTTGCTTAGGTGCGATACACGCCACACTGATTGATAAATGTGCCTCTGATGCACCCTCGGCGACGACTATTGATTCTTGATTCAAGAAAAGTCTTCTTGGTATTTTCCTAGCTCGCAATTCTCGCCATCGCGTCATTTTTAGAGTCGCTAAAAATATTCGAGTTACGATTATGTCGTATAATCGTAAATTATATATCTGCATATATAATTTACTATAAAATTAAAAATAATGAATTCTTTTTAGGAACAATCCGAATATTATTGCTAATATATTAGCGTTTTTAGAATAAAGCTAACAAATAGTTTAACACATTAAATGTTTCACGAGAGTTTAGATTTAAAAAAGTAGCTTTTGACAGATATTTATACTAGAAAACCTTTGATAAATTCTCCACGTTTTTTTTTTACGATAGTCAGCCGTAAAAATCTTCAGTGGCAAAAAAGATTATATTTTTTCTTACAAGGGTTGCTCGGCCGTTCGTTTGTCATCCATATATCATATTCTGCCGCATTTTGATAGGGTACACTGATTTTCAGATTTGTTTCGACAACCTGGTACAATTTGCTGCGTATAGTATATTTGCTCGCAATTCCAAGATTATCAATATGACCCTCCAAGATAATAGTCTGATTTCTTCCAAAATGTGGTCCAATAGCTCGTCCGCAAAGCATCAAATATGCTATTGATGAATTAAAAAATGCGATATGACACATAAGAAAGATTTTATTTTAAACAATTTGCATAAATTTTATTTGATTTAAATGTCAAAAGTAACAGAGATGCTTTAATCATTTTGTCAAGTTAAATAAAATATCCTACATAATCCGGATAAGCAAAGAATTTAAATAAAAATATTTTACCTCTGTTTTTCTGTATTTTCTTAGCATGAAACTGTATTTGTACTTGGCCGCTACCGTGCGCGTTTAAACGTAAGATCGACACGGGCTTTAGGATAGTAAAAAAATGATTGTCATCGTTTATGAGCAACAATAAGTAATTTACGATATTATCCGTCGGATTTGAAACGCTTATTTGCTTCGTGATGATTTGGGATAGTGAACAGTTAAATTTGATCTGTAAAAGTAAAGTAATATGTTATATACATAATATATATATATATAAATATATGTTTTTGGATTAAAGTATTTATTGAAAAAGTAAAAATATTATGAAATATCATAATATTTTTTTTGTACAAACCTTGGCGCGAGGTACATATGTCGGTAAAACTTGGAAAAGATGGACGACCAGCATTAATATTTGCACTTGATTCGGATTAATTAGTTGCATTGGCGTAATAATGAAGCCAAGTCGTATTTTCCTCCAAGCAGTAACTAGGCAAATAGCGTTATGCAACATCTAAACACGGTAAATTGCGAAAATTATGTAGTTCGCATTGTTTACAATAAGATTATATACGATAAAAAATTGGAGATAACATTAAAGGCTCAAAGACTGTTAAATCATTGAGAATGTTAATTAATGTTTCTCCCCAATTTTTTTTTACAATTATAATAATTTGCATAAATTTAGAGAAAAAAATAACGCTGTTTATAAAAATTAACAACGTCTGTTAAATCTATCTTTCAATAATAACTATTTACTGTATTTAGTTAAAAATTATTTTATATTCATTAACGGTATTATCTTATACTAACAAAAAATACAAAGTTACCTCGATATTTATACGGATTTGACTTAAGACTACATTTTAATGTCAAATAATAAAATTCACGAACATTATATACTGTTAGGTAAAAGATCTCATCCTATGACTCATAAAATATTAATAATTTGTGCTTGTATAACAACAATCTTATTAATTTACATTATTCTAATTAAAACTCGAATTTTAACGCACATAATTTTGATATCGTTTCAATTTTTAATGTATAATTTAATATACGGTTTCTTTTTAGCTTAAGATTAATTTAAAGTCAAACGCTTGATTACCTCTTGTTTGTTTCTCGGGCAAATGTACAAATTGCTGAAGCATTCGTCGATGAGAAAGGGGCAATAGGCTGCGGTAACCGCAATTAGTACAAGGCTATCAGATAAATCATAATGAAAATTTTGAATCGCTCGATATTCGGTCACATCCTGCTTTTCTTGCGGATTCATGATTATACGACGATCG